CCCCTCCCTCCTTCCTTCCTTCCTTCCTTCCTTCCTTCCTTCCTCCCTTCCTTCCTTTCTCTTGTCCTGCCCTCTGCCAATCCTTCCATCCTCTGGTCCCACAGGGACCCCATTTGAATAGATCCAGCTTGGAAAAGTGTAAGTATTTTGCTTGGGGACAAAAAAGGGCCGGACTGATTTGAATCAGCTTTTGCATCAGGCGGTCAGTTCAAAAATATTTCGAATCCACCTGTTTTATAAGTGGAGCGAATCCCACAGTACAGTGATGCCTCACTTAACGGGCGCTCCGTTTAGCAATGAAATCACATAGTGACAAACTTTGCAATCGCAAAAGTGATTGCATTGCGATGTTTCCTATGCGTTTTTTTCGCTTTGAGATGATCGGTTCCCTGTTTCGCTTACCGGTCATCACAAAGTAATGATTTTCTAACAGCTGATTGTCGGTTCCAAAATGGCCGCCGGGTTAAAAAAAATGGCCACCCATTGGGTTTAGGGATGGATTCCTCGCTTACCGGGCAGCGAAAATGGCCGCCATATGGAGGATCTTCGCTTTAAGGTGAGTTTTAAGCCCATAGGAACGCATTAAACAGGTTTTAATGCGTTTTTATGGGCTTTTTAAAATCGCATGGCGACGAAATCGCTTTGCAACGATTTTTGCTGCATGGATTAACGTCGCTATGCGAGGCACCACTGTATTTGACCAATGTAATTGCAGCCTCTGAGAGGGAACCACAACTCTTTCTAAGGGATATACAGAAGGACCCCCATGTCCGCAGGGATCGATTCTAAGCCCCCCACCCCACAGATGCTGAAAAATGTGGAATCTGGCAAATACTATACATAGCCTGATCTCTGCCTCCCCGTAGTGGCCGGTTCTGATAACTTCACCTTTAGAAATATATGTTTCTAGGATTTTTAATATATGGTATTTATTGTTTCCATACCATGGCTAAGTGCATCAGCAGACACTGATCTCGAGGATAAGGGGATTCTACTCTAAGTCCTTAATGCTTTCGAGATGTAGGACTGAGCTGGCTTCCCCCTGTACAGCTAAGATGATCTGTAGTGGCCGGTTCTAATAACTTCACCTTTAGAAATATATGTTTCTAGGATTTTTAATATATGGTATTTATTGTTTCCATACCATGGCTAAGTGCATCAGCAGACACTGATCTCGAGGATAAGGGGATTCTACTCTAAGTCCTTAATGCTTTCGAGATGTAGGACTGAGCTGGCTTCCCCCTGTACAGCTAAGATGATCTGGCTTGTAGCGTGAGAACATGTAATGGAAATGGGTGTTGGTGGCTGCTAGTCATGGCGGTGGATCTCTGGCCTCCAAAAGCAGAGCCCCAGGCGCATAATTCAGAACCGTTTCCTGCAATTCTCCAGAACATCTGCAGATTCTACTTTGAGACAGGGTTTTTCCCCACCTGCTCATGATTTTAGGCAGCTGTTCGTTAATCACTTAACTTTAAATACAGTTTCATGTTTTGAAACCATCAGCAGGGATCACCTTGTTAAGACAGGAAACGTCCAGTTTAACAAACAGAAAATGACCAGTCAACAGTCAGAAAAGAAAGCATGTTTACGGCTTTCCAAAATGTACCAGGAGGCAGTTACTTTAAAAACGCGGCCCATCCGTGCACCCATACCCATCAGCCAAGCCAGTTCAAACTGGCAGAGATGCCACCAGGATCCGCCCTTAGCACAGCAATTGGACGGAGAATCTGCTTCAGATTTTCAATATTCCCAAATAACATGTCTTTCCATCCACACCTTCGCCGCTGAACTGACACTTACCTTTTCTGCCCGTTTGACTGCTTCGGGGCTTCCCATGTGGGCGAAGCCGGCCCCCTTATCCAGTAGCATGACATCTCTCTGGTTTTGCTCCAGGTGCTGACCTTTCTCACCAAGGAGGAAATCCTTCGGTAAGTCCACGCCTGATTTCCTTTTTCTTTTGCACAGTCTGTGGCCCTTTATTTATTTCTTCATTTGCAACGTTGACACATAACGGCGTGATTCTGTACCATCTGCCACGTCGTTCGTCTTAGAAATGAGAATACAATAGGGGACAAAAACAGTACCAATTTTTTCTTTCTTTTACAGATGCCTTTGTAGTCATAGCTGCTTAAACAGTTCTCTAAATCATTTTCATTTATCTTTCACCTCGATCGACTCAAAGCAGCTTACAACATTTTTAAAAACAGGTGCAGCTTTAAAAAATACTGCATCTGGTTTTAAAAACAACGGTTCAGTACAGTTGCTATTAGAGCAACGTTCCAGCAAGAAATAGAAGGGGAAACTTCAGTGGAGGTCCTTATCAGGCAGCCAGGACTTCCTTAAACAGACATATTTTCAAAGGATATTTGATGTTTTGCTCCTTTTGAAGCTTTCTGATATTACAAGTGAAGCCTCAAATATATGGCTAGGTCTGTGACAGGCTGGTGGTGTATTATTTTCAGCACAGATGTAAAATAAGCATCACGTGGGGCTCCCGGGAGGACCTGAGTTGTTGCTTTCTGCTTTAAAATCAGCTTCTGAAGCAGGGGCAAGGGCTGTCTCATAGAGAGCAGACTGCAGTAGTCTAATTGCTAGCTTACCTGGGCAACGATCCGACGGTTCTTCCAGGCTCTGGATTTTATTACAAAAATATGAAACCCCCTCCTCCCCATCCAGTTATGAAGTACAGTCGTGCCCCGCTGGACGATTACCCCGCTCTATGATGAATCCGCTTGACAATTAGGTTTTTGCGATCGCAAAATGATATTTCAATGGGGAAAAACTGCTTTACGCTGATTGGTTCTCTGCTTCGGGAACAGATTTTTCGCTTTGCGACAGTCAGCAAACAGCTGATCGTTGGGGTTCAAAATGGCCACCGGCTGAAGAAAATGCCCCCCCGCTGTTTTTAGGACTTAATTTTCGCTTAACAGGCATCGGAAAATGGCTGCCCTATGGAGGATCTTCGCTGGACAAGCAGGTATTCAGCCCATTGGAACGCATTAAAAGGTTTTCAATGCATTTCAATGGGCTTTTTTATTTTGCTTGACAACATTTTCGCTCTACAGCAATTTCGCTGGAACGAATTAACATCGTCAAGCGAGGCACCACTGTAACTGTAAAGTAATTCTAAATTATCTGCTTAGGAGGGCTGATGGAGCCTAAGTCCACCCTGAACTTGAAGAGGGAGGAACCGGCACCTCACCCTTCTCCCAAAGAAAGCAGACCTTTGAATTCTCATCTCCAGGAGGTTTTCGTGGAAAATGTTCACAAAATACATATGCGAGCCGTGGGTTCTGGTGGTCATAGCCTGCTTCTTCTTCCCGGGTCTCCTAAAATCGACTCAGCTGAGCTCCTCTTGACTCTCCTGTTAATCAGGCATGGAGGACCTGCCCGGAGCATTTTCCTCCTTCTGAGCCCAGAGAGCCTACATGCTTTCCGGATAGTTCTACTAAAGGAAGGCGCGCCTGTCACGACGGGGTGCAATGGGACCGCTGTGCCGTTTTTGCTGGAACTCTGCGGTGTCTTTTCCAGCCCCGTGGAAAGCCGGGTAGCTTCCCTTGTAGGATTAAAAATGTGACACAGTCCTCAAAGCTGATCCCAGATGACCATTTGCTCTTTCTTTCCCCTTTCCCTCCCAGCATCTACGATGCTTTCTGTAGCTCATGCCCCCAAGGGAAGGATTGCAAGCAGGAGAAACTGACCTCAGAGCAGGTGTGTACCTGGCCGCAACTCAAGGTAAGCCCGGACGGACCACCGCCAGCTGAACGAGAGGGTTCTGCGCTCTCTCTGCCTGATCTGCACCACAGAGTCCATGAACCACCCTGTGCGGGTGAGAGGTCTCTGGCAGGTTCCATTTACAGCTGTTTCCTGGCGTTGCATGTACGAGAGGGGCTGGCACCCTGGCCGGGCCGCTCCTGCGCAACCCTTTTAAATTCCATGGGTCTATTTCCCTATTAGGGATGGATCTTGCAAACACAGATTTCACAAAAATATAAGTTTCTGCTTATCTTGCTGTCCAGAAGTAGACCATTGGTCTAGATGGGCGGGGTATAAATCTAATAAAATAAACAAACAAATAAATATTGCACTCATATAACAGAAAACATGAACAATGATAACAACGACCATATGCCACCATGTGTGCACCCAAGCCCTCGGCGACAGGACCCCTCCAGAAGAGGCTTGTCAAACTTGCAAAGCTCAAGTGTCTCAAAGCCGGACAAAACTCCAAGACACTTTCCTCAACTGGGTTTGCGTTTCCATAACGCAGGAGGCTCTTCAAAGCCCTAAAATAAAATATCAATAAAATGGGATGCTGATCATGAATTCGCTAGGTGGATTCATATGTCCAACACAAAGATCTAGGAATTATATCAAGACCAAATGGCAAGGGCCTTAGCAGTCCAACTGGCGACAGCAGCTCCACCCCCTTCAGCACTCCTGCTCTTTCTGAGATTCAAACCTCTTATTCCCAAAACGCGATGGCAAGATTTTATACTATTGTTGTTGTTTAGTCATTAAGTTGTGTCCGACTCAATCCAGTGAGCACTCAGGGTTGATTTCCTTCTGAACGGATAGGTCTGATCTCCTTGCAGTCCAGGGGACTCTCAAGGGCCTCCTCCAGCACCACAGTTCAAACTGTTGTTAGACTTTTGGTATTGTCTTAATCCTTTCCACACCTTGAAAGGTAAATCCGTCTGGTGTCTTCAAAGGTCAGGACATGTCTGTCCATCCCAGTCTTCACACCAAAAATCCTGGCAAAGAGCCACCAATGTCCAGATCAAACTAGAGGGTGAACTAGGGCTGGTTGAAGGGATCACCTAACCATCCGGAGAGGACTTCCTCTCCGTCCCACCACCTTCACGGGTGAATTTGGTGAGGACACAGGAGAGGGCCTTCTCTGTGGCTGCTCCTTTAGACTGTGGAACTCCCTCCCACTGGAAACCAGTCTGGCCCCATCTCAGCTGTCTTTCTACAAACAAGCAGATACCTTTCTCTTCAGGCAGGCTTTCCTTTCAATGACTGAGTGGGTTTTTTAAATGGAGGGTTGCCCTTTCCTGCTTTGAATCTGTTTTGGTGTTGCTTTGCTTTACTGTCTTTTAGTTGGTATCTATTTGATCCTTCTTAGCATGTGTATATTTACTGTTTTAAGCTTTTGTCTATTGTATTCCCATGATGTCAACTACCTGGGCTCATTTTTTAAGGAGAAAAGGTGGGGTAAAAATATTTTAAATAAATAAAAGTCTCTCATACAAAGAGAGGGAAGCGGTGAGAGACACAGGACTGCCCCTCAAGGCATTTTGCTGCCTGGATCAAATCAGCCCATGGTTTCCCTTCATGCTGCCTGACACACAGTGGCAGGCGAGACCATTTGATATCAGATCAGACAGAAAACCTTATAAGCACCTTTTTTGCACCTTTGGCAGTAAAAATGTTTGCACTGTGGTGACAAGCATTCGCATGTAACGAATACTTTTCTGCGCTTCTCTGCCACACCAGTTCCGCTGCCTGAGGTGGCTGGGTGCCCCGCCTTGTCTAATGGCAGAGATGGCGTTTGTAGTCATGGCTCTGTACGTATGGCCTAACCAAAGACCTATGTTGTTTTGGAAGTCCTCTTTCCCTCAATCCAGCTTTTTTCTTTCACTCCCTCTCTCTCCCCCCCTCCATCTCTTGCACCCTGACATTGAAAATACAAAGTTTGCAATTAACATGCAGCATCTGGCCATCCTGGGGCAACGGTGAGCAAGAGGAAAACCCCAGGTGGCCGTCATACCCACGTCTCCATCAATTACCTTCTCTTGGTTTTGAGAGGATGGCCGGAAGGTCATGGAGCCAGATGGTTCGCCCTCATGAATATTCCCGTATTCCCCTCACTCCTACCTTGGGATCTGAATTACAGACAAGGGACCAATTCTACTTTTGCAAATTAATGTCGGAACTCACCCGATCTTCTGCACCTCTCAGTTCACCTTGCAGATGGGACAATGACTAGCTGTTGGATTGCAAGAGCTTAGAAGTCTCAAAATATGTTTTTGGATGAAATTGTGTTGATTTGTGTGGTAAGACAAAGCAACACAATTGCTTGATAGAGCAGGCCTGTTGGACCTCTGGAATGTGTAGCGGAGTTTACTCACCCACTCCTCGCTGCTTTGACGAGTTTACTACTAGTTGCGTCTTATTATAACCAAGCGACACGACATCAGCCTTTGAATGGGTACTTGAGCGAAAAATCACTTTTTAAAGACATATTTAAGCACATCTTTATTTTAAAATTTAAATACAAACATTTCAATGCCCCTTTCCAGACAGATCTTTTTCTCTCTCTCTCTCTCTCTCTCCTTAATTTAAGGAGGTGCAGTTCATTCATTCATTCATTTATTTGATTTATACCCCACCTATCTGGTCCGAAAGGACCACTCTAGGCGGCTAACAACCATAAAAATAATATAAGACAACGAAAATAGACATTTCTAAAAAAGCAAAGCACTACGTTAAATCATATAACACACGAAGCAAAAAACAAAAACAAAGAGGGGGGTCAAGAGGTATATGATGGAAAGGCCTGCCGGAACAACCATGTCTCAAGCAAAGCCAATTTCTGAGCAAAGGTGTATCTACATGAACCACAGAAAGGCTGTCCTCTCTCTGCCTAACCTGAAGGGCTCGGATTCTTCTGTAGTCAAAGGTCTTCCAGCCCCAAAATAGGAAACAGTTGAGATCCAGGCAAGGCAAGGCAAAGCCAAGCCTTGTGCTTTCCACATGTGGAAGTTTATGGTGCATTCAGCACTCTGGACAGCTCCGTAGAGTCTGGGATACTTGGTGGGCCATAGAGAAACTCAACTGTTGTGTCAACCATAGAGCGCCACCAACAGAGCCTACAGCTCCGCTGAGGTGCTCACCTCCCTCTGCTCAGCTTTGTCTCTTGAGAGTCCTGCATCCCAACCGTGGGTCCCCAGCTGAACTACAGCTTCCAGAAATCCCGGCCAATACAGCTAGGGGTGAAGGTTAAGGACTGTTGCAGCTGTTGGTTCTCACTGTACAGGAGAGAGAGACCATATCTCCATCATCTGGACCAGATTCCTCATGTGATGGCAGCTGGACCTCCTGCAGGCACTCACGGCGTACCGCAGAAGGCAGGAAACGCAGCTGAACTTTTGAGCAGGAATGCCATCTCACACAATCTGGGGGACATTCCTTCTTGCAAGGCTCATGAGCTCCTAAGTCTAGAAATCTTATTTTTCTACTGCCATTTCCAGATTTGCACGTGCACACATGCACCATGCCGCTTGGAATATTCTGGGAGCGATTTAAAAAAAAAACTCTCGCTAGCTCTGGGAAGAGGTGTTAGCACAACAGGCGAGCAGCATTAATCACACACCCTGGGACACAATGGGCCTTCCCCCCCCCTTCTGCAGGAAAGCACAGCCAGCACATCGAAATCCTATTTAAAGACCCACGCACTGGAGGGTTTAATTAAAACCCAAGAAATAAATATATTTAGCCTCACTGTCATTTTAGATTAGAGCGAGTGGGTTTAAATTTTTTTACACATTAAATCAGTGTTATTTGCATAGAAGGGAGGGCACGAGGCAACATTTAATATTAATTAGGGGAGCTCAAGTGTTAGCTCTTCAGACAATACAACTGGCACATGAAACGGGTTTATTTATTTATTTAAAACATTTATTGCATGGCCCATATTGCAGGAGTTCAGGTGAGTTATAAAACAGTTTTAAAACATAAGATAGTTAAAACAATTTAAAACCAACCCTTTTAAAACAACAAAAGTAAAAGATTCAGACATTTAAAACCTTAAAACCATGACACTACAATGTGTGCAGGTCACGATCTTCAACCTTCAGAAGCCCTAATTAATGAGTATGTCTTGACTTGGTGCCGAAATGATGCCAAGGTTGGCGCCAATCAGACCTCCTAGGGGAGGGCGTTCCACATTCGGGATGCTGCAGCAGGAAAAAACCCTAACCCTGTCCTTCCACATAAGGCCCTGTTCTCTGAAGAGCCTTAGCGACCGGACAGGTTTAAACAGGGAGAAGAGCTCCATCAAACATTCAGGTCTCAAACCATTTTGGGCTTTGTATATCATCACCCACACCTTGAACTCTGTCCGGAAGCCTATCGGCAGCCAGTGCAAATCCTTCTGACTGGAGGTGTCAAGTGGGTTCTGAAGGATGTTCCTGTTAGCAGTCTCACTGCTGCATACTGCAGCGTAGATGTCATCTTCAAGGGTAGCCCCACATAGAGTGCACCGTGGTAGTCTAACTGGGAAGTTAGCGGGGGATGGACTACTGTGGCCAGATGATCCTGGTCCAGGAATGGTTGTTGCTGGTGGTGGTGGCCGGCGCTCCAAACCACTGAATTCCCTTAAACCTCCAATGGCAAAGATGAGTCTAGGAATACCACCCAAAAAAAACTATGCACCACAACCGGTATCCTGCCCAACCTATCCCCTAGTGAGCCATTTGGCTGCTGCAGGATGGACCCGCTGATGTTTTCAGACGCAGCAGAGGCAGCCCCATGTAATCCGTGTTGCAGTAATTCAGCTGGGATGTAACTAAGGCAGGTGCCACCCATGGTCAGATCAGGGGATGGGCACAGCTGTCGCACTGCCCAAACCTGGGCATCCAGGCTCAGAGACGAATCCAGGTCCACCCCGGAAGCTGTGCCCCTGTGTTTTCGAGGGGCAGGATAACCCCAGCCAGGACCAGCTGCATCTG